GATTCAAGCTGCGTTTCGTACGGATGAGATCCGAAGAAATCCTCCCACCCCACAAGATGAGATGAGAGCAGGAATGAGCTACTTCCATGAGACGATCTGGAAAGGTGTACCAAAATTCTTGCGCCGTGTTGACACAGCTTTGAAGAACATAGGGATAAATGAACGTGTTCCCTACAATGCCCCTCTTATTCAATTCTCTTCATGGATGGGAGGGGATCGTGACGGTATGTTTCTTTTCCGCATGTAATATTTAATTGCAGAATGTCTTCCTTTCTGCATATGGTTGGTAGGTAAAGATGGAAACATTGCAACTGTATATCTTATTTATCTTAACATGTGAAACAAAAGTAGATAGTGCGAAAAACAGGGTTCATTATTCATTAAGTTGAAATGTAGAAATGCTCGTTTTGTCTCATATTGTGAGACCTCTAAGTAAAAATATCTATTTGATCTGGACTACAGGAAACCCCAGGGTAACTCCTGAAGTTACGAGAGATGTATGCTTATTGGCTAGAATGATGGCTGCTAACTTGTACTTCTCCCAAATAGAGGATCTTATGTTTGAGGTATTAAAGAGATAACTTCCCTGACCCAGACACTCTTTTTTCCTCAAGTTAGACTGTAGTTCATGGCTTGCTATGATTTTGATTCATCTTGTTTCTTTTTTCTCTGGTTTAATTTTCAGTTATCAATGTGGCGCTGCAGTGATGAACTTCGTGTCCGTGCAGATGAACTTCATAGGTCTTCAAGGAAAGATGCAAAGCATTACATAGGTATCTAACATTGATCCTAAGATGCGTTTTAAAGATTGCCTTTTAGAATTGTTTTTAATTTATCAGTAATAGGTGTACATATTCTTGTGAATTGGTTGCAAAAGAAATGCTTGCTGAGAATATATTCATTAGCTCTAGATGATTTTTTGGGCATATTTTGTAGATCTTCTGTGTTGATTATAGAATTTTTTGGACTGCAGAATTTTGGAAACAGATTCCTCCAAATGAGCCCTATCGTGTTATTCTTGGTGATGTGAGGGACAAGCTGTACAATACACGTGAACGCGCTCGTTACCTATTGGCCAATGGGATTGCTGACATTCCTGAAGAAGCAACTTTCACCAATGTGGAGCAGGTCTCTACTTTACAATTGGTTAATTTTAAAGTGTTGCGAATTTCTTACCATTTATCAGAGTAAAGCCTTTGTTTTTCCCAAATGACATTGAACTGCATACGATAAAAAACTTTTGTGACGATTCTTTTTTTGGTGGTAATTTCATTCAGTAGAATTTTGTCCTGGGGATTCATTGTCATGCTTGAGGCGTTCCTCATGCCTCATTGCTTTGCAAGCGGAGAGGGAATCACATTGGGATACAACCTTGAAGCCTATGACACTGAAATCTCTTCCTTTATGGTGTGAAGTGCTGCTGAGGCAGATACTTACGTTTTACCATACATAATATACCCAAAACTAGGGCCTCCTATGAGAATATTAGAACTCATTCTAGTTGCTTTTAACAATTATGTATGTTGTGAGTAATTTCAATGTTCTGATAACTCCATCTCTATCTAGTATTTAGGGATTGAGTGATCTCTAACATAAATTATCCACTGACTAAACGGATTTTGTTTAGTGAAATAAGTTTTGCTTTGCACAAAAGCCTATGTCTGAGTATGATGGTAGATGCCGCAACAAATTCTTGACATTATTAGATTAGTCCTCTACTGCTTGAAGGAATACATTGCTACAAGGACTTTTGATTGGTAGGACCAAAGCTAGTCCATTGCATCTGAAGTAATGAAATATATTTATTATATCCTAGATTTTAATGATTGTTATTTTTCATCATTTTGATTACCCAAATCCAATTTTTCGAATCAGAACTTTGACAAATCAATGTAATAGTCCTTATACTATTTATGTTGATCAGAATTTAGCATTTAGTCTAACATAATTATTTTTTCCTTAATATTGAGTGGTTCTTTTTTGCATTCCTATAGTTTCTGGAGCCTCTTGAACTCTGCTATAGATCACTTTGCGCTTGTGGTGATCGGCCAATAGCTGATGGAAGCCTTCTTGATTTCTTACGGCAAGTTTCAACATTTGGGCTCTCACTTGTAAGACTTGATATCCGACAGGAATCTGACCGGCATACTGATGTCCTGAATGCTATCACAAAGCACCTAGACATTGGATCTTATCGAGAATGGCCTGAGGATCGCCGACAGGAATGGCTCTTATCTGAACTCAGAGGCAAGCGCCCTCTATTTGGCCCTGATCTTCCCAAAACAGAAGAAATTGCTGATGTGTTGGATACATTCCATGTCATTTCTGAACTGCCTCCAGACAACTTTGGTGCCTATATAATCTCAATGGCAACAGCCCCATCTGATGTGCTTGCCGTTGAGCTTCTACAACGTGAATGCCATGTAAAGCAACCATTAAGGGTAGTTCCATTGTTTGAAAAACTTGCTGACCTTGAAGCTGCTCCTGCTGCTGTGGCTCGTCTCTTCTCTATAGATTGGTACAGAGACCGGATCAATGGGAAACAAGAAGTAATGATAGGTTACTCGGATTCTGGAAAGGATGCTGGTCGTCTCTCTGCAGCTTGGCAGCTATACAAGGCTCAAGAGGAGCTTGTAAAGGTGGCAAAGCAGTATGGTATTAAGCTTACAATGTTCCATGGCCGAGGAGGGACAGTTGGAAGAGGAGGGGGACCCACCCATCTTGCTATATTGTCTCAACCACCTGATACAATTCATGGATCACTTCGTGTAACAGTTCAAGGTGAAGTTATTGAACAGTCATTTGGAGAGGAGCACTTGTGCTTCAGGACACTTCAGCGTTTTACTGCTGCTACACTTGAGCATGGAATGCATCCCCCTGTCTCACCAAAGCCAGAATGGCGTGCACTCATGGATGAAATGGCAGTAGTTGCAACAAAGGAATACCGTTCTGTAGTCTTCCAGGAACCTCGTTTTGTTGAATACTTCCGCCTGGTAAGTATTTCACCACTATAAGTACTTATTTGGTGCTTCAATCTAATTCAGTGTAACATTACATTTGCTACAAACTTTCATTAAAATTTTTTCAAGTTTCGAGAAAGTTTTATGTTGGCTGACTTATCTATTTGTATAAGCATACATAGCAGAGTTTCAGACAATTAAATAGTTCACTTTGAATATCCTAAGTGAACCATTCTCATCTAAAAAACTGCATCAAATGCTCCTCCACTGCCAAAAAAAAAAGAATACTATTGCATGTATTGCATAATTGTCATAGGATCTAATTAATCATGCACTAAAGGAAGAAAATATGATGAATATTTTGAATCTGAGTTTGAAATTTGTTTTCGAAATATTTCCCTTTTTCCTTTTGAAATATCCAGCCAACTTCTAAACTTTGATTCATATATTTTTCAACTTTTCACAGAGCTGAAGCCTTAATTGTTAAAGTAACAATGATGCTTGTAAAACTGTGGTTTTAGTTTTAACGTCTGTGAATAAACTCATTGCAGGCAACACCGGAATTGGAGTATGGTCGGATGAATATTGGCAGTCGTCCATCAAAAAGAAAGCCAAGTGGAGGCATTGAATCACTCCGTGCAATTCCATGGATCTTTGCATGGACTCAAACAAGATTTCATTTACCTGTGTGGCTTGGCTTTGGAGCTGCTTTTAAGCATGTTATCGAGAAGGATATAAAGAATCTCCATATGCTTAAAGAGATGTACAACCAATGGCCTTTCTTTAGGGTCACAATGGACTTAATTGAAATGGTGTTTGCCAAGGGAGACCCAGGAATTGCTGCCTTATATGACAAGCTGCTAGTATCCAAGGAACTCTGGCCCCTTGGAGAGAACTTGAGGAAAAACTATGAAGACACTAAGCGTCTTCTTCTCCAGGTATTACAACGGGTTGATTCTAGAATAAAGATAGTTGTATTTATATGGAGCCTACAAAGCTATTTCGTTCACTTCATGGGAGGGCTTAATAGTCTTGAGTTAAGGGTTTTTTCTTGAGAAACGTATACTATAGAATCCATGCAATAAACCAAATTTAACTTTCTTCCCTTGTAGGTTGCTGGACACACAGATCTTCTTGAAGGAGACCCCTACTTGAAGCAGAGGCTCCGTCTTCGTGATGCTTACATCACAACCCTTAATGTCTGCCAAGCATACACTTTGAAAAGGATCCGTGACCCTGATTATCATGTCAAGGTGAGGCCTCACTTATCCAAGGAATACATGGAATCAAGCAAGGCAGCTGCAGAGCTCGTGAAACTTAACCCTACAAGCGAGTATGCTCCTGGTCTAGAAGACACCCTTATTTTGACCATGAAGGGTATTGCTGCTGGCATGCAAAACACTGGTTAAAACTTAAAATTAAACATAGCTGCACAATTGCACATCGTTGTTTCATATAATCTCATGCCTCATCATCCCAGTATATTCCTACCATATGAAATGCATGTTGTAGCCTTTGAAGGCTGAAGTTGTTTCAAATAAATCCTCTTTTATTATTATTATTATATTACTATATATTTTTCTGGTTTCATCATGAAGAAATTGAAATTTCAGCTTTCTTTTAACTTTATCTTTCACCCTGCTTTTGATATGAGGGTCATCTTCACAAAAAGCATGAAGGTGGGAAGCATGCAATCATATGTTAAAATTTCCCTCTTTTGCATCTTTGATGTTTCCACGTGAACATGCGATACAAAACGAATTTAAGTTGCAATTTCAATGAAAATTACATTTAACAGCAGCTTTGTTTCATAATTTTAATCTTTATCCGTCATTTTACAGAAATCGTCCAAAAAATCTTACTGTCATATCCTGCAAAGCATTTTACGTTTCAAACATATAATATTCAGAATAGTTTCATCATATATTTAGTTGAGTAGCAGGAAGTTGGATATATTATCATAGGGTATTACCTCTTATTATATAATCAAAGCACTACCTTTCGTTATATAACCCACGAGGGGCAGAGACCCAGTGAAACTTCCTATGTACCAAAAGATAAAATAGATTGAAATCTAGAAACAAAAATTTATCTCAACATAGCATTTTACATAAAAATTGTACAAGAATAATTACTGTCATCTTCTACAAAGCATTTTGCTCTTCAACAAGGGAGATCGATGCACCAAAAGAAATCCGACAACCCACTTAATATCCTGTAATGATTAAGAATGGTAAGAGTTTCTTGTTCTTCCCAATGTTTTCATGTTATCCCTCGCTTCCAAGCAGCCCAATCAGCAGCTGAAACCATTTCTGCATATATATTACAAAAATAGTACTGAAAGTAAAAGGGCAAAGAAAGAGGTATAAAATGTAAGTTGCGTAAAAGGTTTATATATGTATTGTAAGCACAACTTTTTTTTGATAAATGTGTATCCACAGCACCAAAACCTGCCAATTATTGCTCTTTTATTTTTGGATAAAATTTTGCTAAGTTAGATTATATACCTCAATTCTCCTCTGACATATTAACACATTCAATAACTCTAAACAAAATTCAGGAATTCATATAAAGAAAAACGAAAAAATACAAAGTTGGCAAGACCAAAATAAGCCAGCAGTCTTAAAACAAAGAATTATTAAATGTGTAGAAATTATTGAAAATGAATAGAATACCTGTGGGAATTGCAGCAAGTTTATTGTTTATGATGCCCTTCTGCATGACAGGGTTTTTAATATTAAACCTCTGTTTTTTCCTCAACTACAGTAACTGCATCCTCTATAGCTTGAAAGAAAGTGGCAATCTTGTATGTGAAAAATCCCACCAACATCGGGATCAATTCCAAGTGCATATAACCATATTCTGGAACAAGGATCCTACACCAAACAACATTGTCAGCATGAAAATCAGAACTTTTAAGGATTCTGAGTATATCTGAAGATCCGCATGCCTTGAACTGGATGAATTTTTAACAGAGGATTTTGATGTATTTGCTCAAGGTTGCCCGGCAAACCACAGACAGAAAATCTAACAGCGTCATACAACAAATTAGAGAAAGCCATCGAGAAAGGTACTAAAATGAACAGGATAATCATGAAGACAAAGCAGTACCCTTTTATAATGCCAAAAAGGTAACATGATGTAAGAATAGTTGAATATGGCATGAGAAACAAATTTGTCAACCAAGTGGCCTACTGGGGGAAGAACATAAACTCTAACCAAAAGATATCTGAATGCAGAATTCTAACAGCTAGGCTTTGAGCCGTGAAACTTACCTCCCCATAGGATAACTTATAGTGTGAACTACAAAGGAAACATCTCAGACAAAATGATTCAAGATTTGGTAAACTTTAAACAAAAAAAAAATGAAAAAGAAAAATTTATTTTTCTAACATGATGAAAAATGGAAATACTATCTTGAATACAGGACAAAGCAAGTGAAGGTGAAATAATGCCCACAAGCATGTAGCCTGGTGGTATCCTTTCTTTTAACAGAGTTTGAGGTCTTGGAATCAAATCTAGGCACGTTCGATGTGTATAGAGTGAGTAAAGGGATGGAAGAGGATTATCTTCCATTGAGCACCCTAAGCAATAGATTTTACACAATAGAGGAAAGAACAGCATGATAGAAATGCTCAAGGACAACTGGTAATTACAAAATAGAGAGCATTACTAGAGATGTACAGTTATAGAAATGATCAGAAGTTGGTGAAAGCGTGAGAAAGAGATTTCACCAGAATTTCAACAAACTGGCTTGAGAAAAGTTGCTTTTAAGTTAACAGATAAAGCAATTTATCAACAAGAGAATGCTAGAAAAGCTGCTTACCCATTCCAACGGTTATAGATCATGACCAATACAATAGGAACTAGTAGCCTTGGTTGTGTAACTGCGCCCCTGAAAGCAAAGCTCAAAGTGAGCTAAAAAGTTAAGTCAAGTCACTTTAGACTTAGAAGATTATGTGAGGAACAAAAGTGAGATAAAAAAAAAAAGAAAATGAACCACAGATCCCATCCTGTTCAACTTAGAAATTTTAGAGCAATTTCCGTTACTTGTAGGTCATTTCCCAAATAAAGAAAAAGACATCACAGATCCCATCCTGTTCAACTTAGTATTTTTCAAGCAATTTCCATTACTTGTAGGTCATTTCCAATGGCACTGCACATTTAGAGCTTGCCCTCAGGCTCATTGCGACAATGCTGAAAGCAGGCTGCAATGACCAACTTCCGTTATATCAATGTTGTGAAGTCAGTTTTTGACATGCAAGCAGAATATTGGAAAGCCTAATTAAAGGAAAGCTATCAAAGCCACAACAGAGAAGAGAAGGATCAAGAAAGGCACATAGAGGAGAAAAGACAGCTATGTCTCTCTAGGTTGATACTTGCCTCCTCATAGAGGACTTTATAAATTTCCTTATGTTGGTATTTATCCTAGCCACTTTTTAATCCTTGTAGACATTCCAAAACTGTCTTGACAAGAAACTCTCTTACTATATTTTACTACCAACATGTGTGCTTACTTTAAGAAATAAGTTTATTTCCAAAATTTGATGAAAACAATAAAATTTAGGTACACTTAATATCAAAATTCTCCAATAACCATTTCTGCACTCAAAACAAATTGGGTTTTTCTTTGGTGAGATTAAAACTAGTCCTACCAATGGAAACAAGTCAAAAGAGTTCTGCAAATAAAATACACAATGGACAAATATTTGTAGAAACATTAGTTGAGAGAATGTTTTGTGGCATTACTCAGAAAGACATTGAGGGATTCAACAATATGGTATCTCATGGAATCATAACTCAAGTTTACTACCTCATTTAAATAATAGTCAATGTAAATTTAGCAAAGTAAGAGTGTTTTAGCAAGACAGTATCTTCTTGGAACAAGGAGATGAAACCTGTCAAGAAACTACAAGGGAAAAATGGACTTAACGCAGGTAAAACTGTTGAACAGCATTATCTCCTCTATACTTCACAAAGAGCTAACCTGCATGAACACAAGTCTCCTGTCGACTTGAAGTTCAAGTATTTAACTTTAAAGTAAAATTTATAGTGGAACCAAAGCATTCCACATAACATATAGATTATCAAATGTCTGAACAAATTATCTAACCAAGATTTTATCATCTTGTAATGAATAAAATTGTAAAATATCGAATCATTGCAGTGATAAATATATAAAATGCATTTATAGCAACAGTTCCCTAAAGCTTTCTTTTATTTTTTTTTTCTTTTACTTGTCAAGCTTAAGCTCTGTTTGTTGATGCTTTTCCATTTGCCATTTGCTTTTTTTTTTGTCTACTGCCTTTTTTTTTCAAAAAATGAATCGAAAGCAAAAAGCAGAAATAAGAAATGAATAAAAATAAAAGGCAAATAGCAAAAGCATCAACCAAGCAGAGCCTTAATAAGTCATTCTTCATGTGAAGGGTTTAAGCATCTAAATCAGTATCCAGCTGATTTCATCTATCTGATTCTACATTTACATTCTGTAAGTACAGTGAGAGAAAAGAATTAGAAATTTATGTCCTGTTTCATTTGCAGTATTTTGGCTTCAACTACTAATGATACTATGGTTGCTGAGATGATCAGTTAAGTGAGTACGTAGTCAAAGAAATACGCGGTACCAAGGATGTCAAGATAGTGCGGAATATACCTGAAAGTGATCAGGTAAAGATAGTAAGCATCAGAGTTTCAAGGACTAATAAATTACTTACTTCATAAGCCCCTTTGCTCCTTCTGTAAGGGAATCCACACTACTTCCCAGCATACGCATATACACCAAAGAACCAAGCAACCCAGCACCAAAGCTGCAGTCAGGAAAAATCAAAAAGCTTCAGATATCATGGAGAGAACAGTGAGCTCCTAAGTTTAAAAGTTTATATGCAATGGCATAATAGATGTAGAACTATTAAACTAATATACTCTTTCCACCTATAATCACAACCAGAAAATCATCATCTGTTCAAAAGGGATTTTCATATAAAGCAAGTTAATGGTTGTGTGATCTAGTTGAGATTGTTGTCTCTTAACAATACATTTGACATGGCAATAGGCCATGACCAAAAAATATACAAAAGGAATGTGTGCAAATGGTTATGACTAATGCATGGCTTAAAAAAAGGTTTTAAAGCTATTGACAATTATTTAACTCTACAATAAGCTAAAAATTGAATTCACATGTAACATCTCCAGATCCATAAAGCAATGACATGGGTAAATAAAAACATCAACCTTAAAGTTTGAGTTGAATTCTAATACAGCCCATATGGTTTAAATTTTAACATTAATGATAGTTTGAAACTATTCTTAGAATGGTCCTGACTCTAATTACCATCAAAAAAGGTAACAAAAAAGGCCATGCTGGATCCTAAGTAACTCAATTTTATTTTCCTTCTTTTTCCTCCTTTTTCATTCACCCTCTCTCTCTATATCACTTCTCTCTCATCCTTTTTTCTCTGCTCTAAGAAAAGAGCAAAGGAAGTGTAATTAAGTCAAAGACAGAAAGATTTGATAATGAAGAGAGAGGAATTAAAAAAAAGATAGGGAATGCCCAGCATGGTAGCACCAATGGAAGGAGAAGACATAGAGAGGGGGGAGGATGAGAGTGTACATAAAGCTGAAATAAGAAATAATGCAAGTTTGTGACATATCCTCACAAATACACCAGTTCTTGCATTCATAAACTGTAGTTCTCACTTCTCAACTACTAGCTGCCTAGCAATACATATTGTTCTCAAGTTCTGAGCAATACTTAATGTAGAGAACTATTCAAATGATTTAGGGTAAACTCCACTCTACACCTCCTGTGGTTCCAACTTTTTCCACATAGCACTCTCTGATTTCCTTTTTCCATTTAGCCCTTGTTAAGTTCTGTTCCTAAAGAGGTTACACTGTTAATTTCATCCAATAAAATTATCAAAATACCCTCAATTCAAAAGTTAGCCTATTTGTTCACACTTGCAGGTAATTTTTTAAATTTTACTGAGAAAAATTAACAACCTAACCCTTATGGAAACAGAATTTATTCACAGCATACTAATTGGGAAAAAAGAAATAACAGTATGCCATGTGAGAAAATTGGAAACCACAAGGGTGTAGGAGTTTACCGAATGATTTTAGTAATAGGTATCTGATATGCTTGATTGCCAAAACATGACAGAGCTAAAAAGTTCAAAAAAGGAAAAAGGGAAAGAAAAATAATAAGAGAGATTAATCTCAGCTGCCACAAGGAACAACTTATTAATTAAAATTGCTAATTATATTAAGTATACAGGAAGACTGCCCACTAAGAAATAAACTAAATAACTAAAATATGTACAAATATAAACGAACCTAGCAGCAATTTCAGGAGTGTAAGAAACATAAGCTGAGACTAAACCAACGCCACCTATAATCAAGGTGAGAACTTGCAACTTCCTTTTCAACTGGAACAAGAAATTCCAAAAGTTATAAAGATAAGAGAAAACCTTAAGATATCTATTACCATAGGTACAAACAGAGTGAAACTGTAACAAATGAGATGATGAAATCAACAAATACTACTCCCAACTACCTTAAAGTACTGCTCCCTTGATTGAGCAGCCAACACTTCAGGGTCTCCTTGAGGCCGCCGTACCTCCCGCAATATCACATCCTAGATGGCAGAACCACATCAGAATCAGAAAATGGAAAGTGGAAGCACCCTTCCAAATCACAATGTCAAGAATCCACATAAATAAAACTTCCACTTCTGAAGGCAAAATCAAAGTCAAAATTTGAGCTTCATAGTCACAAGTATTTATACTATGTGTTTTCTTGACTGACATTTAAATAATCAAAAGTTACTTATAACCACTTTGTCGGAATTGAATTATAACTCACACTGCCACCAGTTGCAGCCTTGGTTGCTTTCTCCCACTTTTCTTGCTCACGCCGTGTTGGTACCAATTTCCATTTGCAAGGCATGCTACCACTGCTCTGGTAGTCATTTCATTCCAATAAACAAAATGCAAAATTTCGTGATTACAGAGGAAATACCATTAGTTCAAGAAGATCTGATAGGAAATGAAAACCCGTTGTCTCACTTGAGTTGTAGATTCAACTGTCTGTTCAAACACAGGCTTTGAAGGTGCTGTAAGTTCCTTGCTCAGATCGACATCCAGACTATTTATATTGCCATATCAATGAAAAAAAAACAATAACATCAGCAACAAATATGGAAGAAAGAAATATCTAGAGAAAATACATTGAATTGTCACATTGTTAATAGGCATAAACCTGTCAAGGCTCATAACTCGATTTAAGCTTAAAAATCCAGAAGGCTCTTCCTGTTTACACCAAACCACAGGAACTGAATTATAACATAGGCAATGAACAAAATATGAGAGCAATGCAGTCCGACTAACAACCATATCAGCGAAAAATATAATTATTTTTTCTATTATGGGATAATGACAATCAATCAAATAAACAATTAAAACAATCAAACTGTTAAAACTACAAAGCAACCCCACTACCAAAGCCACCAACCATAACCAGATAGACTTTAAATCACAAAATATATTAAGATAACCACATAAAAGGTATTCCAATTCTGCTACCAAACTTCAAAACAAACCCGTACTGGGAAGGAGGCAAATACAGTAAAGCAAAAACAAACTTTGACCTTAACAGCGGAGGGTTGAAGAGAAGAGTCATCGGCAACAGCAGGGTCCTGAATGAGCTTCTTCATTCTACCAACGAAGTCCTTGTTCCAAATGAAGTCATCAGACGTTAAAGGGTCGTCTTCTTCACCACCCCAGTACTTGCGAAGCTTGGCGGTTGCAGGCGGGCCCCCATACTCCCCTGGAGCCACGCCTGTTGACCATTTAAGGGGCTTCTTCTTGGGCAAGATGATTTTGGTCCGTCTTGGGTTTGGTGCTTGCTGTTCTTGAGAAAATGCTGCGGTCGTTGAAGTTACTCTCAATGGCATATAGTTTGGTGTTGCCATTGCTGTCCAAGGCTAAAACGCTTCTTCACTTCAGCTTTTAAGTTTTGTTCATTCATTCAGTTTAGAAATCAAATTATTTGGAAAAGAAAAAAAAAATATCTGGGTCTTCAGTCTTCTCGCTGAGTTCGTGTAATTGTGTCCATTGATGTTCCACACAATTCTCATCCTTTATATATATATATATATATATATTAATTAAGATGCTGTTTGATGAACTAAAAACATTTAACATTGAGAAATTAAGTATTAATTATTTTTTGAAAAATTTAAATACTTAATTTAAAACGTTTTACATCAAAAAATTAAGTACTAAATTTTTAATTTTAAAAAATTTAAGCAATGAAGTTATAATATAAAAATTATTTGGTATGCTATTGGAAATTATAATGTTGAGCAAACTTTATTGGAATTTCTGTAAAAGAGAAATAGAATTTTATAATTATTTTCTTTGATAAAATTTAAAAAAAGGAAGTAATAATTGATTAGAAAAGAATATAATATTACTGTAATTAAATAACAAATTTTTTAAAAAAAATTAATTGACTAAATGCATTAAGTTCTTAGTCACTTCAAATTTTAAAACTATTTTTGAAAATCTTCTATTAATTAATTTTTAAAATGAATTATCAAACACAATAAAAAACAAAATCAATAATTTAATCATTTAAAAATTTAATATGAGTATTTGTTATTCTAATTTGACGGCCAAACTTCAACCTCGCTATATCTATTATTTGAGTTATAATAAAACATATCACATTGAGTTACAATTAAAATACCTTTTAATACATGTTTTTAAAAACTTTGAATGAAAAATATTTTCTTTTATTAAAAAATTAAATACGTGAATTTTTAAATACATATATATATATTTAGTAAAATGTAATGTATTTAAAATAATAGGCATCAAAATTTTAAAAGTTTTTTTATCAATAAAATGTTAACCTTTAACAAGTTTATTAAAAGAAAAAGTATTTAATTTTATTAAAATAACTAAAGTAATATTTATTTTTATAAAAAGAATAACATTATATGATTCATGAACAAATTGCGCCTCAAATAACAGTGTTTTAGTTAGGGTTGAGCAAATACAAACCGAATTGAAATGAGTTCGGTTTTTTCTGTTCGGTTATTCGGTTATTTCGATTAGTAAAATTATTTCGGTTCGGTTTCGATTAAGAAAAATTTTAACCAAATTAACCGAACCTAATAAGAGTGTTTATTTTAAAGAAATTTACATGTATGTGATCTTGTGATTAAAAATATTATTGTAAAAAAATTGAACGAAAAGTATTTATTTTATTTATTATAATTTTTTAAGGTCATTTTTAATTTTTTATAATATTGATTTATTTAAAAAATACAATATAAATAAATATATACAAACAAAAAAAATTGTTAAGTTTAGTTTTTAGAAACCAAACTGAATTAACCGAATTAATTCAGTTTCGGTTAATTCGATTAGTTATATAATTCCATTCGATTTTAGTTATTTTTAAATAAAAATTTAATTAATTTAACTATTAAATATTCAATAATCTAATCATTTGCATATCCCTAATTTTAATAGCCGAAAGTTAGGTTTTCGGTTCGAAGGAATTTACTATTTGATTGGGTTATTTTTGTCATTTGGTAAAAAAGAAACCCTAGCATTAGCAGGCCTCTTTTTTCTATATATAGTGCTTAAGATTTTTCTACTGCTGCCTTGCTCCCATGGGGAGATCTAGCTCCTTAAAAAAGAAAGAAAAGCTGAAATCAAATTCTCTTTTCCTTAGTCACTGCTTGTTAGGGTTTTGATTTTTTTGAAAAGAATTCATTCATTCGTGGTTGTAGTAGATTTGAGAAGAAAAAATCTGTGTACAATAAGCCGATGCTCTGGAACAAACAATGAAGGAAGCATGGTAATGTGCACAGAAATTGAATCCTCCGATGGGTCAACATGTCTGCTCCCTCTGAACCCCCTTTCTGGGAGGCATTGATGAGGGGGCCTGGTTTCGACCCACAATTTTTTCACTGTCTGATGGCATGTTTGAATTTGTTTTATATCAGATCTGCCTGGGATTGGCTTTCTTGTTTATGTGTTTGAAATCAATGTCTGCAATTTGGGCTGTTTATGTGAAATTAAAAGAAGCAAAAGTGTTCAAATTACTAGCCCTTTGTTGTCAAATTACTGCTACTAATTGGTAGTTGGTAGTTGCAATATAGCAATTTAAGGGTGAAAAGGGGAGAATGACTGGGCTATGGCCTTGAGAGGCATTAAAAAGCAAGGGATGGGTATTTGATTTTGATGGTGTTAGACCTTAACATGGTTTGAATATTGATGCACCTAAGCCAAATTCATCATCTAAACTAGAATAAATGAAAATGTAAAACTGACAAGTAATGAGCAATCAAGGAATATGTAGTAAAATGAAAAGAATTCCAGTATTCTTCAATGAAAAGAATTACATTATTCTTTTTTGATTCCAAACATAACCAACACATGGAGGCTTTGGTGACAATTAAGGAATATTTACATTCCCATGTATATATTTCAACTGAAAGTTGGAGTTATGGTCATCATTGGACAAAAAACGTTTTCCTGAAGATGCCTAAGCACCGCAACTATTCGCCATTGCGTCCATGCGTGAATCATTTCAGCCACCGCCATCCTCTGCGACCTATCGATCAAATAAGAGAAGAGGAAGAACTCATTTGCTCTGGTTGCGGCCTTGAAGTCACAGGTTCAACTTTCATGTGCAGCAAGTCTGACTGCGATTTCCTTCTTCATAAGTCATGCTTCGAATTGAATTTGGTGCTGCAACACAAATCCCACCCTCCCCACTCTCTCAAACTTCTCTGCACCCCTCCTGACAATTATGGTAGGAAAATTTTCATTTGTAATGCTTGCCATGACTATGGCACCGGTTTTGACTACCATTGCTCCATATGCCAATTTGATCTCCATGTTGGATGTGCTAAACTGCCCAAAACCATAAAGCATAAAGATCACCAACATTTGCTTAGTCTCTACTGTTCCTTCTCGTGCATCAAGGAGAATATTGAAGCCTTCGTTTGTGATGTTTGTGGCCAGGATGTACCAGATCGACTCTGGGTTTACCACTGTGAAAAATGCGATTTTGGTATCCACTTACGATGTACAATTCCTGATACGGTCCTGAAGAAAGATATTTAAAAGGTCTCAACTAAACCATAAGGAGACGTTTGCTATGGTGTAAGTAGAGAAATTTCCATTTATTTAAGTTGGGTGTAATGTGATTATATGGTTTGATTTGTAAATTACACATGGGAAAGTCTTCCCATTGTAAAGTCGGTACAAAGATTAAAGGGCATGTCATACCCCATTAATCTATTTTCTATTTATACTTTCCCCATATTTGTGAATTTATTTTGTTATTTTGTATGTTTAATTTCACCTATTCAATTTGCAACATAGATCTTTCCTAAGTTCTTGAATAAATGGTTATAGAATAGTGTTTTGTTTTTCTTTTATTTGGTGATAAATTGATGCTGATAGTGTTTGGTTAGGGCCAAATAAATACAGGCCTCCTGCAAAACGCCACAATTACACGTTGCCTGCTTGGTAAATAAAATGCCCAAATCTAAACGGTAACCAACTAGAACAGGCAGTTTTTTCTTTTATTTTTTGTTTCCAAAACCGGCGTTTCCATTCCAAAGAAACCAACGATGACTCGTAGAACAAGAAATGCACCTTCATCACATCAATTCTCCGCTGAATCATCCACCACTCGCAGCAAACATCACCGCAAAATCCCCCACGGGAATTATTATTGTAGTGATGATAACTATGTTGACAATACTTCTCTGTCTCATTCTCCCGATGAATCAAATGGAGATGACTTGGAACAACCGAGGACTGAGAATGACTATGATGATGTTGATACGTCTGACTTTCAATCTGAATCCATGACTAATGCGCCCAATGCCCCCAAAACATTGCTCAGAAGCAATGGTTTAAGAGCACCAGGGTCTTTGAATTCAGTCTCAAATTCTGATATTTGGTCGCCATCCAATCGTATTGAGGCCACTTCATATATTAACATTGCCCCATTGCCTATCTTTCATGGTAGTCCCAGTGAATGCCCGGTGACCCATTTAAGCAGGTTTGCTAAAGTTTGCCGTGCAAATAACGTATCTTCTGTTGATATGATGATAAGGATCTTCCCAGTCACTCTTGAGAATGAGGCTGGGCTTTGGTATGATCTTAACATAGAGCCATACCCTTCACTTCGTTGGGAAGAAATAAAGTCTTCCTTTCTGCAGGCATACCATAAAACCCAAGCAACAGAGCAGTTGAGGCATGAACTCATGATGATTAATCAAGGCAGTGAGGAGCGTGTGCGGTCATATTTTCTGAGACTGCAATGGAGTTTGCAGAGATGGCCTGATCATGGGATCCCAGAAAATTTGCTTAAAGAGATTTTCGTTGATGGATTGAGGGAGGATTTCCAGGATTGGATAGTTCCCCAGAAACCTGATTCTTTGGTGGAGGCGTTAAGGCTTGCTATTGCCTTTGAGCAATTGAAAAGCATCAAGATATCAAGGAAAAAGGATTTGAAATGTGATTTCTGTGAGGGGTCACATGAGGAAAGGAATTGCCAAGTCAGGGAGAGACTGAAAGAATTGTGGAGAAAGACAAAGGACAAAGAATGGATGGATTCTTCAGAGAAGAATCAGACCTATGAAGCAGTAAATGAGAGTGCAGAGGGGAGCGCTGAGGAGAAGATTGAAGAGGAAAACATTGTTGAAGGAGAGATATTGAGTGGGAAGAAGCAGAAGAAGAACAGTCAGTGTCAATGTTGTAAGCACCAGTGTTGGAAGAAGCAGCTTGATAGAACAAACAGCCTCGTTTCCAGAAACTCTGATGCTGTTTGAATTTGTTGCTACGTCTTTGGTTCTTCTTTCTAACTTAAATTCCTTGTTTTTTTTTTTAAAAAAAAGAAATTAAATTATATTACGTTTATCCAGGAGAAGGGAAAGGCTTTCATCTTATTGATACGGAGAATTTTTATCAACAATCATAATAACTTTCATTTCATTTCATTTCAATACATGGAGTGCAATCTTCCATAATAACATGAAAACCCGAACCTGATAAAGCAAATCTTGCTGGCTGATGCGCTGCCTTCTTCGACTCTCACTTGACGTAGGATACATGGAAGATCAAAAACTTTGCAATCTAGGTTTTATGAGAATCTTGTCTTTTTGATGTAGGAAAGAAATCTTAAGGTTAAAAGTGTTAACAAGTGTATGCTAATAGTTGAGATTTATTTGAAAAATATGATATGATTTATGATTAATGGTGTCTCCAATTTTGCCTATTAGCCACAGGAGAAGGTGTATGAAGGGAAATTTTTAGTAAAGTAATTTAATATAATCGACCGAATGATGTTTTGGCATGAGAGAAATATAAGAGAGAGTTGAATTTGTGATGAAGGATAGTTCTATAACTTGGCATCCATTCTGAACTAATAAGCAAGTCTCTTGGATAAGAAAATATAATTAATACGAAATTACATTAAATCACAAAATAGTTTAAAGTAATATTACATTAAAATATATGATAAGTGTACAAGAATTACAAATTTATTTTTTTAAAAGCTTAATCATAGATTGAGCAGCTTATCTTTGATTGATTGTAATGACTTCAAGTTATCTTGATTTTTTAATACTTTATTCTGTCTAATATGATAAATAAAAAATAAAAACAATCGAATCAAACTTTTTTAATAAGAAATATATTGTAATTATATATTTATCATTATCGGTTGTCCAAATGCTCCAATGTAGTATGTAAATATTATAATGCATGACTTGGTTTCTCATTTTTGAATGTCTAATTATTATTAAAAATTAATATTCATTATGTGTAAAATTATAAAAATATCATGTCAACAACATAACGATATCACATCAACATCAATCATCATTTTAAATCTATGTATTTACTTAATCAATTTTATGTGAGCGTAATTATTGCATCAATTTTAAATATCATATTATTAATGTTACATCATCAGATGCAATATCATATTAACAAAAAAACTATCATTAGATGCAATATCACATTAACAAAAAACTATGTTATAATAGCACAATCAAATACCATGTCAATATAATTAATAGAAAAAATTCAACTCCTTAATGATTAAATTGAAATGATCAATTTTGAAAAGTATATAAATTTAATTTTTGTAAAAAAATTAAGTCCACCACTTTGATAGAGCACAAAGACTAATTATATAGTTTAATTATGTTTTATTATTTTTTAAAATACTTTATAATAGTAAAAACTAAAAAGAAAAATTAATAAATAAAAAAAGAATATCAGGTTAATGGAATTAAATGATAATTTTTCGATGAATTTACTAATTGAAGTGATTAAAATTTTCCAAAGTTTATGAAAAACAACTTACTATCTTCCAGAGAGCATTCACACTTTATTTATTTTTGGGTTAATATTGCACTCCCTGTTAGTGTTGTTTGGGTTAACATACGCACATACAAGTAGTTGAATATTTACTCGTACATTTTCGGATCAGAAAAAGATAAATACACACCTAAATTGCTAGTTCATTATCAAAAACCGAGAGAACAAGGTCGGCGGTGAAGGAGGACTAGAAATAGGCAAGTGACTAGTTACGGCAGGCTAATATATAACGGCAGAAGACAAAAAGACACAGAAGGATTCTAATACCGCGTAACACCAAACAGGAGCGTGGCGCGTTCTGATTGGCCCAAGTGAACCAGGACTTTTGTCTGGACTGCTGACTCTCAACCAACCCAAGTCCACTGTCCGAATTTGGGTCCTCATTGGACAAGCGAAATTATTAAGGTAAAAAAGAGAAGACAAAGAAAGGGAGTGAGAGAATCTCTCCTACGGCATAGATTTGCAACAGCAGAATCCTCTCAACATAAAACCCTAAATAATTGGTGTGCTATTTCCGTGAGATCAGCTATGGCTTCTTCTAAAGAGCGCGAGAATTTCGTCTACGTCGCCAAGCTCGCTGAACAGGCTGAGCGCTACGATGGTGATAACTCTTCGGTTTTTTTTTTTTTTGGGTTGAATTTTTATGTACATTTTTCTCTTATTTTGTACTCGTTTCGAGTTCAATTTCGTTTATCTATGCTTGCTGATTAGAAAAAATATGCTGAATTTGATGTTGCTTTTGCTGTCCACTAGATTTAGTCATAATTGTGTAAATTTACGGACTGTTTCTCTTTCTAAAAATTTATGGGAAGAGTTTATTTGGTCCTTTATTTTTAATTTTTATTTGTGCTGAATACTTTTGGGACAATGGAATTATTTGAGTGTTTAAAAATTTAAGGCTAGAGGAGTGAAATTGTCGACATATTTTGGAAGTTCACTGATAATTTCTTTTTACAAAATTAAAATTCTATAAGTTTAGGTTCCCAACCCAACTGCAAGTTATTTTTCTGAATTTCCTCTGTGTAGTATACTTTATTGTGAATTGATATTGATCTTTTAACATTTAATATCTATATTTTCGTTTGGAATTCTTGTCTTGTTGATCCAAAATGGAAAGCTTTACCTATGTTCTATCTCTTTCTCTCTTTTAAATTGGACAGAGATGGTGGAGGCAATGAAGAACGTGGCAAAGCTTGATGTTGAATTGACAGTGGAAGAGAGGAACTTGCTGTCTGTTGGGTACAAGAATGTGATTGGTGCTCGGAGAGCTTCATGGAGGATTCTTTCCTCTATAGAGCAAAAGGAAGATGCTAAAGGAAATGAGGTGAATGCAAAACGGATCAAGGAGTACAGGCACAAGGTGGAATCTGAGCTCTCAAGCATCTGTAATGATATTATGACTGTGATTGATGAACATCTCATCCCTTCAGCATCTGCTGGTGAATCAACTGTCTTCTTCTACAAGATGTATGATGTTGTATCTGAACATAACTTTTGACTGCTTAGAAGCAAACATATTTAGTTTTTATTGTTTTATTTTACTTTTTACCCTTGGCAATTGCAGGAAAGGAGATTATTATCGTTATCTTGCTGAATTCAAAGCAGGCAATGAGAAAAAAGAGGCTGCTGATCATTCTATGAAGGCATATGAGGTATCTAATAAATTATTCATTTTTAAACTAATTTTAGTAACCATTTTTACATATTAGGACAAATAATGACCATGGTCTTGTATATACCATGGTATTTTTCTCCAAGTTATATGAGCTATTATTTGGAAACCTTCATGACCATAAGACCACTACTTTTTGTATCCTTGCTTAAAATTTGGGTATCTTGTATGCTTGACTTATTATCTGCCATAAAGTTGATTTGAAAAGTTTGATGCCCAGGTTGGGCCCGTGAGCCTTTGCTTCAGTGGTAAGGGTGGGGCATTGTCTCTGTGGATTCTTTTTGTATTGTATTAGCAAAATTAGGTGGAAGTTTATTGATTTTGGCCATATGTTGTGATCCAGCTTAAACTTGAATTGATGTTTTTCTTTTTTATGTATCCTTGGAAATTGAAAATCGACAATATTTAGATATTTTGTGTTTTGTTTTGATTACTTGAGAGCCATTAGCATGGGAATTTCTGGGTCCTGCATTTGGTTAACATAAAGGGTTTTGGAAGATTGTACATTTCTTTCTGATCATGTTCTTATCCTAGCCAGTTGAGATGTGGCTTTGGTTATGGAAGTACTTTGGTTATTGACACTGGCTTTGTTTGGATCAAGGGAAGGGAGAAGGAAAGGGAAGGATGGGGATCAACACCTCCTTACTAGCTTTAAACATTTTAATGGAGAGGAAAGAATTTTTCTTTTTGATTTGTTAATCTTTTCTCCAGGTGATACTTATTTGTTCTTATACATCTGTTTCTCTCTATATGTTTCTCCTTTGGATAATATTATTTTCTTATTTTCATGCTAAAAATGGATGGCCACTCACAATGTCCCTTTTTTATGTGCTGAGGATTGCGTGGACCCATCCATTGCACGTGTCACTCCCTTCTCTTTTTCATGGCTTTTAATCTATTTTAGAAGGCAAATAAATTATGCAGTTATTTATTTGCTTGTTGATTTTTTTAGTGGAATGAAATTGACTATATAGTGTATAAAGTGGAACTTAATCAATACGAGAGGGCAACCAAACTATGCAGTTTGTTTTATTTATTTTGGTGGGCTAAGCGGGAGTATCTATTCTATTAGATTGAACTTAACATGTCTTCTTCAGCTAAGATATCAATGTCATTAAATGCTGTGTCATATGCCCATTTCATTTTTTCTACAGACAGCTACCGCTACTGCAGAGGCTGAGTTGCCTCCTACACATCCTATCCGTTTGGGTTTAGCCTTGAATTTCTCAGTCTTCTATTATGAGATTATGAATATTCCTGAGAGGTTTGTTGGAGTTGCTACATAGGATATATTTCATTTAGAATCTTGTTCTTTCATCTTCTTTGACATAACTGTTTTTTCTTTCTCTTTTCTATTTTCACTATCAGGGCCTGCCATCTTGCCAAGCAAGCTTTTGATGAAGCTATTGCAGAGCTTGACACCCTCAATGAGGAGTCTTACAAAGACAGCACCTTAATTATGCAGCTTCTAAGGGACAACCTCACCCTTTGGACTTCTGACATCACAGAGGATCCAGGTGATTATTATAATTATTTCTGGACTTCTTCATGCAGTTAAAAAGTTAAATTATAAAAGTTCCCTTTAAGTAATGGACTAGTTAGTAGATGGTTCAGTATGTTTTTCTCCAGCTAAAAACTGTTGGGCTGTTGGCTACCATTTTACAAGTACCATTTCTTTCCATGTTTCTTAACATGCACAAAAACTTCATCTTTTCTTCCTCAGGGGATGTTAGGTTATGGTTTGTTTGTCTTTGGAGGCTTTCATGTTTCCTATTAATTAAGGAGATAATAACCTTTTCCAATTATAATAATTAGCTTATAACTGATACCAAGAATGAATTAGGTGGCTCATGCTACAGGCTAGCTACACGATAATATATTTTTCAAGATATCTAGAATCAATTAGGTGCACCATGCTACAGGCTAACTACATGATTGATATCTCTTTCCATTGCACTTGTAAACATGCTGAGAGAGTGAGCAACAGTGCTTAAACAGGTTTTGTGTTTCCCCATTGAACCTGGAATCTTTTTTTTTAAAGTGAAAAAAAAAAAAAAAGCAGCCTGGAGTCTGGTACATCAGAATAACATATCTGATTAGATAACACTTTTTGTTTTACCTTTATGACACTTCTTTGACAAGGACTTGTTTCTATATGCATTCACATGATTTGCTTTAGTTGATGATATCCTTCATTTATGTTGTCTGATAACTCTTTCACCAATATTATTTCTGTGTATGTCTGATTTCTTTTTCTTTTACTAACATTAAAGTATTTGCTAAATGCCCTAATCAGGATAAAATTGTTTCAATCAAGGGTAGAGGTGTATATGTGTCTGGTACATCAACCTCTTAAATCTCTAGTAAGAAACTGAGACAGAACCAACTTGGAAGAAAAACTGATCTTACACAAAACTGAATAACTCGGTTTTCTCAATTTCAGTTTTCAGTTTTTCCAATTGACATGCCATTACTTCCAATTATATTCCAACCAATAAACCTTAAGAACTTATACTTGAAACACCAGATTCACTACTCTGTCTTAAACCAGACTAAAGTTTATTAGTATTTACTTCAACCAACATCCAAAATTTAAGATCTTATGTTTGAGATCTTAAATCTTAGATTTGATCTCAGATCTGGATGAAATAGAGAAGTTAAAAGATAATTTGTCTTGGATAGTTGATTTGGTTAACAATATCATGATTGTGTTAAAGGAGAAGGAAGCCATGAGTAATATTTGGCTGGTGAGAAGGTATTGAAATCTTATAGGAAACTGCACAGAAAGAAAGGAGAAAGAATACGAGGAAAAAGTTTTAATACAATGGCTAAAAAGTAGGAAAGTGGTCATAGAACCTAACCATTAAAGTAAAAGGTTATCCATCTTTCCCCTGTTCCATCCTTCCTACAAAGCAAAGCCTAGAGATGCTAGAGCGGTCTTGTAATGGTCAAAGTTCCTTTTTCCCCCATAAATTAGGAAAGTTCTCACATCAGGCACACAATGTCACTTGGTCAAATGGGATTTTGATAATTTGGAATGAGATTAGCTGTATTGTATTCCCAAGTTTGAACTTTGAAGATTGCGAAAATAGGTGGGGTTTATGGTAATTCTTGTACTCGCTACTATTAATTGTAATCAGTTCAATTACAGTAATTCAGGTATCTACTCATAGTATCCTAAACTGAACCGAAAGCCCCAGAAATCTATATGGGAAAACTGAAACAAATTGTTTTATGTTAAAAACGGATCCAAACCGATCGAATATGGTTTTCTCGATTTTCTTGCACAGCCCTAATCGAGGTTGTAACCTATTATTTTGAAAAAGCAATATCCTAATTAGAGCATTTGATGTTAAAGGTTCTTATTGCTAATTGGAGATCTAAGAGTCAAGATGCATTAGATAATTTTTTTCCCTAAAAAATTTTGGTTTTTGCATATGTATTTGTTCAGACTTTAGATCATCAGGATAGATGAGAGATTTAAGGATGATGATTTAAAAAGGGGTATAATTTCAAAATTTAAAGTCAATCATACCAAATTGCCTTGATTATGCATAAAGGCATCAAGTAGGTAAGATCTATATTTTAGAATCCTGACCACCTCATTTTTGAGCTTTAATTAGTCTCAACACAGAATGAAACTGGAACTTGAGCTGAATTATTTCATGCTTGGTCTCAACTCAAAAAGCTGATACTACTTGAATTTAACTCGATTAGGCTTGATTATTTTATAGTCAGGGTTAAATTGTAATATTAGATAATAATATTACATTTTATTGATTGTGCATATTATATATGATATTTATTGTAAATTGACTACAAAAAACATGAAAGCTTATCTGAACTCACAACCTACTTACTTATGCCAAGTGTTAAAATGCTCATAGTCAAGGCAAAGCCAGGAACTTTGTCATGGGGCTTGTTAGAAACTTTAGAGTACAAAATTCAAATGAAATAAGAATGAAGTTGCATGAAAAATATAAATTCTTTAATAAATAAAAATATACAAAATTTCAAGCATCATAAACCTTATTATATACATAAAAAATGAAAAGAATAAATCTAAAATTATATAATTTTCTCTTAAAAATAGAATAGAAGTTAGAAAACTTTTAAAACATCAAGTGGGTAATAGGAAATAAGAGAAGAAAAATCGAAGTAAAGGTACATGCACAATTGTTTTGTTTTGTTTTTTTTTTGAAATCTCATGGTATATTGAAAGCAGAGGTAAGTAAAAACTTTACCCTGGGAAGGAACAAAGTGATTCATGTCTGTTCATGCACAATTGTTTTTGTATGCAAAATATAGCCTTCTAATTTTCTTTATTATATTTTCTTTTATCAGTATAATTGATATTGCTTGACACAATAATTAGTGTCAAAGTGCTTGTTTGATCATTAACTCTGATAAGAGCCAAAGAAAATCAATTAGTAATTAGGTCCACTACTTAAAGTGTCATCAGATTGTGAAAGCTGCCATACTAAGTATTATAAAGTTTGGGGAGGGGGCACTTCCTATTTTACCATTTTTTTATTTGAGAAAAGTTGTATATCTCATAGTAAGATCTCCTAAGCCAAGGGAGGCCCAGGGCCCGTATCAGCCCCCCTGGCTTCCCCTCTGCTCAAACTCACCTTGATTAGTTACTCAAACTACTAGAGCTCGGACTAGGCTTTACGGTAATTCAGCGTTCAAGTATTAATTGAGTCTCACGAGTAGCTTAACTTGCTTACTCTGTGATTCCCACTTATGAAAAGGTACAAGATATATTATAAGAATTTTAGTGGCATTTACTTGCATGTGCAAACTACAATATATGACCAATGTTCTAATTATGTTCTTTGTGTTTAATTATTAGTATTTAGTTATTTACAGAGTTTATGTAAATTGTCTAGACTATGTATGCAATAGAAATGTACACTCAAAAGAATCTACAGAAAAAAATTGGAACCTCAATTTTAGTGGCATTTACTTGACTGGAACTCAAATGGTTACCCAAACTACTAGAGCTCAAACTTGATTGTAAAGTTATTAAATGTGAGTCTCTTGAGTAGCTTCACTTGCTTACTCTCTGATTCCCACGCATGAAAAGATAGGAGAGTTTGTATAAGAATTTTAGTGGCATTTATTAGTATGTACAGACTAATAATACCTTAACAATAATTTAGTTATGTTTTTTGTGTTATAATTATTAGAATGTAGTTATTTACAGAATTTGTGTAAATTGTTTAGAACTGGAGACTATTGATGCAGTAGGAGTAGAGAACTGCATATTAAAATGTATTTGCAGAAAGTAGTTATAGCAAAAAATGAATAAAAGGAGTAGCCATAAAATTAATAAATAGGTAAATTATATATGTATATATATTAATATCTTTGTATGTATGTCCCGCTGTGTGTGTGTGTCTAATTACTTTAGAAGTCACCTAAGTCTCGTATGCTGACATACAGTAAAACCTCTATAAATTAATACTCAATAAATTAATAACCTCGATTAAATAATAGTTTTGGTCGGTCCCGGCTTGGGACCAATGTGGTAAATTAATAATTCACTAAATTTATAAGATAATACATTTAAAAAAAACATATAGGTCCTACTTGATATATAAATTAATAATCTCATTATACATCAAAATTATATATATACATAATTCAATTAGGAGGCTTTTGTAAAATATGACTCCAATGTTACTTGTTTTTCTTGAACTTGATGCTTTTTTGGACCTCATCTCAAACTTTTTTTGGTATTGAACAAATCACTCGTAGAGAACCTTATCTAGCTCAAGGAATTTTTCAGTTTTGTATCGTTTGGCATCACCTTTTGCAATTTTGGCTGATAAATACTCTGATGACCTCTTGATCGTATTTGACATTGTTGCTTAGCTCACTTACAAGTTAAACTTTTCTGACACCTACTGTTGCAATTACTTTTAGGTGCAATTTGGATTTTCTATACTATACTCATACAATGCTTTATGCATTTCATCTGTCATTGTTGATTTCTTTATACCTTTGAGATGAGAAGCCATTGTGTTTAGTTTCATCATTTGTGATACTATATGTTTTTTTTTTAATGTTTTTGCTTGACTTAATGTTCATGAAGTATATTAATTAAGTATTCATAAAATAATGATACATCATAATTCGGTAATTAAGTAATATTTGTATAATCACAATACACAATACATATATTAAGTTTAATGTTTTGGAAAAAAAAATAAAGAGCACCTTGATAAATTTATTTTTTATTAATTAATGTATAGATTAATAAATTATTAATTTATCAGTTAAATAATATCTTGATTAATTAATAAGTTTTCATGATCTCAAGGATATTAATTTATAGAGGTTTTACTATATAAAGTTTACCTCTTTAGATATTTTACACAGAGCTCGTGAGAGTTTCGATCTGGTGTGTTGATATCTTAAATTGTTTTTTATTTCTTCTAATTATTATTTTGCTTTTTAACTGTAGAAGACAATGATTATGAAAATCAATGCTATATGGTTGACTTTCAATGGGGTTGAAACTCTGAGCAGCCCAAGATAGCTGCAAAATTTTAATGTTTATTGTAGAATGCAGAAGAGGGTATTACTTTTCCCATCATTTTTGTTGTGGATTTGTTCAAGTTCAGGGCTGGAATGTGTTAAAAGGAGTTCAAAGTGTCCTGCTATTGGAACTGTTTTCCTGTCTTGCACCCATTGTTGTTGTAATAAATAATTAAAACTGCATGTTAGTGGATGTTTTGTGGTGATTCTCATGATTATATTAAGGAGGTTAAAAATGTAAGACACTGAAATCAGAAATGTTGTAACATAGATTTTTTTTTCTTTTGTAATACAACCTTGAAGTATCCACTTTCATAGTAATGCATGTCATAATAAAAATCACGTCAGAATATTTTTTTTTTTGTTATCAGTGTTAGATACATGACTGTTCTACCAATTTGGTTGAGAACGAAAAAAGGAAAACACTTAGCTTTTGTTATAGGTGGATGAAATGAATGTCGGTGCTTTTTCTGTGTAAAGATGTAAATGGGAAGAAGCCATTGTGGTGAAGTCTATTCCCAGAAATGTGTCCTGATGCATGCATTCATTTAAAAGTATAAAGAGGCTTTTACATCAAGTTAATATTTCAGAAAGACTTTTGACCATGTAAAAACTGCAGCATGACCAATTACATATCTAAATGTAGCAAGATACTCTATTTTGAAGTGTAGATGCAGAAATTTTCTACAATGAATCATGGTTGCAGTTTCCGAGTTTTCATGAATAATGCAATCTAATAAGATACTCTTTATTGCAACAGAAGATTCCATGAAGGTCAATGGCACTGCCAAAATTGGTGGGGCAGATGATGCAGAGGTATGATTATTAATTGTCTTCAATTTAGCTGCTTTAATTATTCAATTGTCATGTCCTATGGCTTTTGTTCATGATGCCTTTGTTTTACCCTGTAGTGAAAACAACAGCTTGTGATATCGCCTAAGCTCGTGGGAACTTGTGCCTTGTGACTTGATGTGTTTGGGGAATGACTGGTATCTGATAGCCAATTTTAGATTAAATATATACCATCAGTTAATTCACTCGTGTTTTTCTCTCCCTCTCGAAGTGCCATGTTATGGTGTGGTTTATTATTGCGTGATGTCTAGACGAGGTTGGTTCAATTTGTAGTGAGCAGCTTTTGCTTGAGACTAGGCATTAGGATTGCTCTGATTGCCTTTTCTTTTTGGGTGTAAATGGTACAAACACAGATGGAGGAAATCTGCTGTTTGGTTTTCCTCACTACCTGAAAAGCTTGCATTTGGGTTTATGGTTTCTTGATTGCCAGCCAGCCAGCCATTGCTAGTATAAATTTGTGTTGTGGGGAATATCTTGTATCCTTTTAGGAGGCTTTTTGGTAAAATGGAACTGAGCCATCAGAAATATGATTCAACTATGTGGGCTCTTTAGCCTTAAACCATTGATAAGCAGAGGGTAATAATATTATCATACGAAAAGTATGCATGCCTAAATTTCTATTAGCTTCGTTTTAGACATGTCCAACAATGATGGAAAACCTAAGGATTATTAACTCCCAAAAAGAAACCTTTGTTGCTCTTTAAATTTAGATTTTGTTCAATTTCAATGTGAAAAGTTTCAAAACGAAAAACCTTCAACCAAATATACACGAGACTCTCAATACTAATATATGTGATGTAATTGGAACTTTTAATTGCAGAATTCAACAAAAGCTTGACAAATTTATGAGAATGGAGAAGTGCTAATATTGAGATATCTAAAGAATACATCAAATCGGTTAATTTGATCAGTTTTTGAGTAGAAAATTTTAAAATCAAACGAAAAGAATAATAATAATAATAACAGATGTTGAGACTCAAATGCACTTAGCACTATATTACTGTACATTATAATTCTGTACAAGAAGAGGATGCACTAATAAATGCAAGTGAAAAGAATATGAATTTTCCTTGCTCTATTCATAGCTATTTTCCCAATTACCCCACTTTTTTTTTTTCTTTTTTAA